AAGTTTAAGACAATAATAAACAAAAGAAGCTAAGAAAGAAAACGGTATTAGTTGAAAACACCAACTAGTTTTAATGAATTCTAACTTACGAAACATCAAAGTAAACAACTACGTACCGGAGAAACTTGACAATTCAAATAAATGCACTTGTGAGAGCATTTTTATTATACTTACTTACTTACGCTTGTTATTCCTCGTAGAGGAGCATAGCCCGCTCACCAGCACTTTCCATTCAACCCTGTCCTGGGCGATCCTTTCCAGTTCTTATTCATCCTTTTCATATCCGCTTCTATTTCCCGACATAATGTGTTCCTTGGCCTTCCTCTTTTCCTCTTCCCTTCAGGATTCCAAGATAGGGCTTGCGTCGTGATGCAGTTTGGTGATTTCCTCAATGTATGTCCTATCCATTTCCATCGTCTTTTCCTAATTTACTCTTCAGCTGGATGCTGGTTTGTTCTCTCCCACAGAAGGCTGTTGCTGATGGTATCCGGCCAATGGATGTTGAGTATCTTGCGTAGACAGCTATTTATAAATACTTGTTCCTTTCTGATGATGGTTGTATTAGTTCGCCAAGTTTCAGCTCCATACAGTAGAACTGTTTTGACGTTCGTATTGAAGACTGTGTCTTTGATATTGGTTGACAGTCCTTTTGAGTTACATATGTTCTTCAATTGTAGGAATGCAGTCCTTGTTTTTCCAATCCTCGATTTTACACGTGCATCTGATCCTCCTTGTTCATCGATGATGCTTCCCAGGTATGTGAAGGATTCCACATCTTCCAGAACTTCTTCATCAAGTGTGATTGTGTTGATGTTCTCCGTATTGCATTTTAGAACCTTGCTTTTTCCTTTGTATATACTGAGGCCTACTGATACAGAGGCTGCTGCTTCACTAGTTGTACTCATCTGCATTTGTTCGTGTGTATGGAATAGGAGGGCTAGATCATCTGAGAAGTCCAAATCGTCTGATTGGTTCTGAACTGTCCATTGTATTTCGTGTTTATCCTCAGATGCCTAGGTCTTAATAATCCAGTCGAACACCAGAAGAAAGAGGAGGGGGAGAGTAAACAGCCTTGTCTGACTCCGGAATGTTTCTGTCAGCTGTCCTCCACGCACGACCTTACACTGTAGTCCGTCGTATGAGTTCCGAATAATATCGACAATGTTCTCAGGAACTCTATAGTTTCGAAGAAGTTTCCATAATGTTCTCTCATCTACACTGTTAAACGCCTTTATTTTTAATATACAGTTTTCTAAAATGTACCTTGAATATTGGAATATTTCACTGAATTTAAAACATCTCTAAATCCGAATGCTGATTTTTCTTGACGCAGCATATATATATATATATATATATATATATATATATATATATATATATAAACGTTTAAAGTATTCCATGGAAGTCCTCAAACGTAAGGCTATTCAACAGTCTCATTATTTCATACTTGACATATTTGACGATCTTCTCAAATTTACTTCATCGGAACCATGAATCAGTGACTGGAAAGCACCAGACACAGTCACATGTATGATGATCACTGACAATACAATGTACTAGTTGAAACGCATATTGTACATGTGCAACCATTACTCATCTAATTTGTTATTATCGGCTAGAGAATGAGTAACTGTTAAATAGGTAAGAATTAATGGGACCTAGAAATCACCTTATCTTATCAGCGACTTTTAATCTGAATAACATCAGAAACTTGAATGATGCTCACTATGATTAGTAATATAATTATGACAACTTACAGCTCAAGCTTATTAATGTAAATAATTATAAATCCATTTCAAATATCCAATCTATCAATTTAAAAGCATTAAACTCATCAATCATTTGACAATTTCTTTGCTTAATAGCTTATACATATAAATTACGCCTCATCTTAAGATTACATAATCAAATATACGACGAATATGTGCTTGTTTGATATAAACTAAATAAATCGATTTTCATAAAAGATTTTTTCATTTTTCTGAAATTTATCCAAATGTAAAATTCACTCTATTTCTTTTTCCAAATATCAATTAGCATAAAATATAATGAGATTGTACAAAGCAACAAGTGCATAATAGGGTGATGTGACTAATATTACATTGACTGGGAATGATGAAATGTTTTAATCTAATCGTTTAGATTTGCTCTTAATTTTGACTACTGTATATTGATGAAGTTGCATTATTGATTACTATATGCAAAGAAATGCAACTACATTATGCACCCTGGTGTTGTTTTATCATTAGTAATCATCATAAAATATAGATTATCTTTGTATGTTAGATATTTTCATTCGTAAGCTAACTAATAAATATTTGTAAACTCTAGTTCCATAGCATTTTTTTATCGAATACTTCAATAGGTGGTGGTTGTCGATAGTCGATAAATATCTCTGAACCTTGGTTTCGCCCTATTTGGCGTTGATAAATAAGGCGTACCTGAGATCTTGAGAGAACTGATGTTCCGTGGTGAATCCGATCTCATTTCACCCAGATTTCAATTCAGAGACGTTACCACTGAGTTATCTGGACGACATCTGACCTCCTGTAGGATTGTGTAGTAAGTAGACTAGCGTCCAAATCGAAACGTGATCGATAGAATTCGATCTGCACTAAGAAAGACCTGAAACATATGGCATTAATCACAACCTAGTAATCAGTCAATTTTGAATATTTTTAAACCTTATTCAAAAGTTGAAGGTCGTATACATTAAAGAACGAACAATGACTGAAGAATGTTCAGAGAATCTTGGCTTTCACTGTGAGGAACCATAAATCTTTTTTGTAAAATACCCAGAGTTTAAATAGTCCAAATGGTTGTTCCTGATTAGCAACTTTTTAGCATGGTTCTTTTTTATGGAATGAAACTGGTAACACCATAACCAACCCTCTTCCTTTCCTTAGGCTCGGAACCGACAGTAACCCTACAATAGGCTTCTGAAGGAGTTTTTAGAAATCTTTAGGAAATTGTAAAGTAATAAATAGCTCTGTGACTAGTCTTTAGGTGTTTTAAAATACTTCTAGAAAAGATTTTTATAAAATGTACTGTTATGTAATTGTATACAGTAATAAGTATATTAAAACAACTTTCAATTAATGCTTGTATGAAATACCATGAAAGAATTTTTCACTAAAAGAAATATACATTAAAAGTAAAGTGAAATAAAAAAGAATGAGTATTCAAGGCTTATGATTTCCCTTTGTTACCCCATTTTTTGTTAACATGTCATTCATAATGCAAGTGGAAATCACCATGTGATACGTGACATTCTAATGTAAAATATCATCAGTCAATTAGTCATAGTCGCATAACTGACTCACACAAATTATATCACAATATTTATCATGCGGTTAATGACTAAAACTACTCTAATTCTATATTGATGAACAAGCAATACGCTATTATCATGGGCTTTCATAATTTATTAGAGGCCTTCATTTTATTGCATATGATAATAACAATGCATTATTTTTAAAACTGTGTTCACATATGTTATGTCCCGATGAGCATAATGAATGGTAACTTTTGGGATACATTTATGAACCAATAATATGAGTACATTTGTTGTTAAATAAATAAACTGTTCATATCCATGTCCCTTTTATTATGAGCCTTATTTCAAATTATTATTATACGATTCACCATTCTTGAATTATACTCTATCTATTAATTACTACCTCCCACATTCACAACCACATTTGCCTAAATCTTGTACAAATGTCATTTCCTATTTTATGGTATGATGTGGTCTGTCTGGTTGGTATATCAACCCAGTATGCTTGAAATAAATGATTCATATTGCAAAGGTTGAAATCGGTGTTGTGGACATAACTAGCTGGGCTGGGCTAGGCAGGATGTCGGAACGATAAGGACTGTAGACTGCTCGTACTAGTTATATGCGTCATTGGTCCGATCGATAACTCACTGCTCTCTAATTGGAGGTATCATACGTTGTACAATAACAGGGCACACAGGCCACAAGTTATAACAACATGTATCATTATTTCACCAACCGCGATCAAGTTATCGATGAAGGTCAAATTTATTCCCTAGTTATTTCAGAACTTAAGGTTTGTGATAATCCAGTGTGTTGAAAAATTCTCAGTGAATTAGCAAACAATTAATCTAACACTATTTGGTCATCAGTGATTTTAGTCTCATCACGATAAACAACTTGTAGATAACGGTTATTCCAATTGATTAGTTATATATGGTCCGTAAAACAAGTCCTGGATTCTACAGCTCATCAAATATCATTTAAATCGTTGTTTTCAAATGTTTGTTTGTTCTAATTTTCTTTTAGTAATTTTTCTCTTGACAACAAATTTGGATAAAGTATTCATAGATATAAATTCATCAAAACCAATATAATCTCAGTAGTTGAAATCATGAGTCAGTTGAAGCTAGAGCACCATGGAAAACCTGGAAGCACCGGACGGCTGTTTCGTCTAGTGGTTAAGTGCTGATTAAGACTGATAGGTCCTGGGTTCGAATCTCGAAGGGGGGCGGGATCGTGGATGCGCACTTCCACGGAGTCCCACAATAGGATGAAACGGCGTTCCATTATTTCCAGGTTTTTTCATTGTGGTCTATCTTCAATTGACTTATAATTTCAACTATTGAAATTACTAAAATCTCCACAAAACCCCTTTTGATAATATGATCTATTAGAGAAATAATTTTAAAATTGATCTGATCACATATTTTGCTGTACTTATTATCTTGTGCTCTTGTGTTTATTTATCGAATATAAATATGTGTGATCTGATTGTTTGAAGCATAGTACTCTGATAGATATATATAGTACTGAAAACCTTAATCATTTAACTGGTCAGTCAAAATAAGTTAGAACACTATTGTTTTGAAAACTTTACATTCATTATCGTTGTAACCGTTTGTGTAATGAAATATTCTGTATTTCTGAAAATAGCATCATTTTATCTTAACATGAATCTTGTTTTGTTAAATACATTCCAAGTTAATACAATATAATTCTAGTAATTATAAAAATCTTATCTGTCCGTATATAGTTTCATATTCAAATAAGCACATACGCACTCATTTCAACCAATCATATTAAAGTATGACCATTTCACATGTAATCCAATGAAAGGAAATAAAAGCAACCGAGTAACCTTAGTGACGAAACCTGTGAACCAACCATTTTTCTGTTTGTTTTATATTTCTGGAAATAATAACTGACATTATATTACTATTATTATTATTACTATTATTATCAATACTAATATTATTATTATTATTATTACTATTGCTTGGACAGTATTAATTTGTGCATACGTAATTTGTGGGTGGTGAACAGAATACAGAACAAGAAAAAAAAATTAAATTTAAAATTCTATAAAAACTCTAGTGACAATACGAACAACTACGATATTTATCAAGTTAAAAGATCAACGTCATAGTTACAAGTATTTGAGAAAAAAGTAAGTTTAATAAAAAACAATTATTTTCAAATTGAGTAATTTAATTTAATTTGGTCATTAGTCTAATCTTATTTTGATTATGTAATAAATGTATGCTATAATTTAGTTAAATATACATTTAATATACCCTAATTTATGTATGCTTTATTTCAAAAATTTTATAAATGGATTTTGTTATAACTTGTGACCTGTGTGCCCTGTTAATGAGAGAGAGAAGTGAATTATCGATCGGACCAATGACGCATATAACTAGTACGAGCAGTCTACAGTCCTTATCATTTCTGCTTCCTGCCTAACCCAGCCCAGCCCAGCTAGTTATGTCCACAACACCAATTTCAACCTTTGCAATATGAATCATTTATTTCATGCATACTGGGTTGAAATACCAACCAGACAGACCACATCATACCATAAAATAGGAAATGACATTTGTACAAGATTTAGGCAAATGTGGTTGTGAATGTGGGAGGTAGTAATGAATACACAGATCATAACTCAAGAATAGTAAATCGTAGAATAATAGTTCATAGGTTAAAATAAAGCTTATGATAAAAGGGTTATGAATTTGAATAGTTTATTTATTTAACAATTATTCGATAAACACGTATGTATAGTATTGGTTCATAAATGTATCCCAAAAGTTACCATTCATTATGCTTATGTGGACATAACAGATCTAATCCAAGTTTCTTGTACATAAAACACTCATTCATATTGGCATAGACATTGATGATTTAAGCTAGAAGTGAATGTTTACACTTTGATAATCAAGATGACTTAATTTTTCTGTAATTCATATCAACTTCATATCAACAACGTAGAATTTTCCTCAAAATGTGCATTAATTGGGTATATAGGGAGCTTTCTCTTAATACAGTATACACTGGCAATAATAAATTAACTTTATATATAGTTTGAAAAATGTGATAAGTGAATTCCTTTTAAGTTAATTACTTAACTATAAAATATAACCAGTAGTGTGTGACATTCTATTTTAAAATTTTATACGGGATAGTAGATCCTTACTACTGAGGAGTCCCATACGAGGACGAAACGACCATTCAATGCTTCCAGGTTTTTCATAGTAGTCTAGCTTTAAACGACTCATGAATTTAACTATTATAAATTACTACAATATCCACAAAACCCCATTCTGATACTTCTCAATTTGATTTTCAAATATTTATCATTTCGACTAGTTTTCTTGTTGTTAACTTAAAAATATAATAAAATCAGAATCGGTGATTTATTGAATAAAGTACTATACATCATGATGGATTATTGATAGTGATGATCTTGAGATCAACTTTGATAACAGTCGATAAATGTGACGGATTATAGTACTATTTTGTCTTCAAGTTCTGTTTAACAATTATAACATCTAAAGATTGGTACATACTGATAGGAATCAACTAACAACATATGAACTTTAAACTTTGAATTCGTTTCAGTTAAGTTACAGTATTTTCGAACATCAATTATACTTCAAAACTCACGATAACAATAACATTGAAGATGTATTCAAGCTGTAATATAAATAGTAATGTGGAACGTGGAATTTTCTGTAAAACAATCGTAATAGTGTTTTGGAAATATGGGTAATATAATACTAATTTATTCTCTCGCTTGGGACTGCACTTCTGTTATATCTCAAAGGCCGCCGATTAGAGGGTAGTGACTTATCAATCGGATCAAGGGATTCAGAGACTTGATAGGCTATTCTGGTTCGTTGTCCCCGACTCAGCTAACTCGATCAAGAAGTCTTGGTAAGACGTAGAAAGTGTATTCTACAGGCAACCAGCAGATACCAGGTCAATCACGCACATAAATCAAGCGTATTTATACAAATATATAAAATCGACATTGTCATATATATTTTTAAACATTCATCAATAAGTTTGTCAGTTGACTACCATTCAAATATTTAAACATTTAATCGATAAGATAAAATTACAAAATGTGAGTTTTGGGTGATCTATCGTCCCCAACAACTCCCCTTCATTCTATTTAGTGTAGATGTTTACACAGGGATTCGAACTCACCATATTTTGCTTCAAACATCAATAAGCTATTCACCAACCTACTGCATCACGATAATCATTAATTTCTTCAACAGAGAAATGGAAACCTTAATGAATTATAGTTAGGATTATGATGATTATAATAACAAATTACTGGGAAGGGGTTTAAAATAATTCGTAGATTGGTTGAAGTGAGACATTGACACCGTTGGATGCCTGCTCAGTGGTCTAATGGTTAAGCGTTCGCGCGCGAAACAGACTGGTCCTGGTTTGGGATCTTGCGGGGGGGCCGGGTTTGTGGATGCACACTACTCCGGAGGGGTTCCACAATAAGACGAAACGGCCATCCAGTATTTCCAGGTTTTCCATGGCTGTCTAGTTTCAATTGGCTCATGATTTTAACTATTAAAATAATTCTATTTTTCAAGGTTCTACGTCTCATTCAATTAGGTATTACTTGAACGGTGCTTGGTGTATAAATTGTCTAGTCATTGCTAGCTACCTAGTCAGATAACCTTTACATTTCCAGACAACTTAAATTGTTACATGTTAATAAATCTATCAGATCAGATCAGATTTCGTTTACACTTTCATAACTGCACACTGATACACATATCGATACACATACACTACAGTCTATTTCTAATTTTACTCATATCAATATCCAAAAAAAGTAAATTGTGTACTTTTAAATTAATCGATTAACCAAGATTGTCACCAGCTAATTTAGTGATTTTCATTAGTTCAAACTAAACACCTGACTTGCTCAGGTGCTTATTAATATTAAATTTTGTCAGGAAATTAAGTTCGGTTTCAGTGTTTTATTTTTTATTATTATTATTATTACTATTATTAGCTTTATTCACTAATATATTTCTGGTACAATATAGAAATCTTAGCACAAAGTATTTCAATTTGTTTCCATTTCTTACTTCTTGGTTGATCCTGACGATAAATATTGATTGATCGTCAGCTAGAAGTTAACAGTCCAGGAATCGACATTTGAGTAATGTATACTCTTTTCACTGAATATTGACAGCAACCATGGTATTTGTGATGATTGTACTATTTTGTAACTTGTACAAAGAAAGGTTGTATACTTTTCATAAATGCACCTGAATAGGTTATGCCATTACTAGCCATAATGATGTATTAAAATAATCAAAATTACATAACTTGTTATAATATCTAAAGAGCAGAAACAAGTTGCCCAGATACTCGAACAGGCCGCCTCCCTTTTTCTTTAAAAAAAGACGTCACACGGTAAAAAATATAAATGTCGACTAATCAGGAGTAGGTCAATTCTTTTCAATATTATTTGAATAGTATAGGAGTTGTGTAATATTTAATATTTGTACTCGATTATGTTCATTTAAACACAAACGACTCAATACATTGAAATATTTAACATTTAAGTGGATATTTCATGAATTAAGAAATTAGTGAACACTTAACATTTTCTACTTTCATTCCCGACCTACTAAATTCTTACCAATAAGTGTTTTAATAGATTGACAGTTAGAATTTTTAATGTGATCAATTATAAACTAGAAAAAAAAAGCTTATTTTATTAATCATCCTCTTTAAATTCTTTAAACTATCACAAATATTAATAGTTGAATGATTGAATTGATTTAAGCTAGGCCACCATTGAAAACTTGCAAGCCCGAAATGGCTGTTTCATTCTAGTATGTGACTCATCAGCAGTGCGCATCAACGAACCTGCATATGGGACCAAAACCCAAGACCTTCAATCTCACGCTCGAATACATAAACTCTAAAGTACTGAGCCTGCATCCAACGATGTTAATGTCTTCCTTCAACTAATTCAACCATTAAACTTACTGCAATCTCTATAAAAACCCTATTCTGATAATTATCACAAATATACCAAAGTTTAATGTATTAAGAAAATTTAAGAAAAGAGTTTTAAAGCTTATATTTTGTCGATAGATTTGTGCTTAATTTTCAAAAATATAAACTTATATGGTTGTACTGTTACCAGAGTGACAGTTTATTGTAAAATGGTCCAGTAACCATGATGGTTAAAACATTTCATGTAAATTTTAACTATTGATGTTCCTGTTATACAGTTATATATATATATATATATATATATATATATATATATATATATATAATGAAAAATTATTAACTATAAGTGCAGGCCTAAAAACAATGGGAAGATACAAGCAAACAACACCAAGTGAATTCAAACTTCATCCCATTGCGCAAGTAGGTGACTATCAGAACTTAGTAGCCAAGTGGAGAACGCGATAGTGTTTGAAGCAAACAGTACTGGGTTAGAGTCCCAGAGTGAACATCAACTCCAAGATGTAGTTACATCCAGTTGACGAGTCCAGACTAGGACGAACCGGGCGTCAAACTGGATTCCCCTGCTAATCACCATCTATTTTTGCTAATATAGCTTGTGACTTAAAGCAATATCAAGTCGATCCGCACAGGATGTACATATATGCCAAAAAATGACTGATCGTTTACAGTCCTAAATAACAATAGGAAGATACAAGCAAACAACATAAATGTAGTTTTATTGTTATATATGTATATATTTATATAATGTATATTAAGTCTGTTATGTTAATTCTCGAATTTCTTTCTTAAATTTCATTTTCATTTGTACTTTAATCAATGTTAACTATAAGAATTTAATACAATTATGCAAATCACTAACATTTTACATCATAACTATTCTAGTTTATTAATCAGTAGTAAATGTTGACCATTGTACACTTTTAAAGTTGTTGTCTTTTTTTATTACTTTTTTTGGTATTTTACGAAAAAAAATGTCTCTAAGATACATCTCGAAAAAATTATTGATTTAATTTAAAACAGAAGAGGATAAATTATACTTGAATCTAATTCACTAATTCATTCATTCATTCAGTTTCATATACTGTACATACTTTCCTTGATAATTAATTATGTTGTAGGATGTATTCGTTTTAGGTTGATTTT